CCAAATGTTTCGAGGACATTGGACATGTGTCGTGGAACCCTCGCGATTCTCGAGATTGCTTGACCATTTCGACATGCGCGAGGGGCGACTTGCGCGCTCATTTGTATGTGTAACTGTATATTCATATACACATCGTGCAAAAGGATGTCCGAAACCGGTGATGCGAGATCAAATGGAGCGCGCGTGCAATCTAAGTGGCGTAATGTATGATGTGCGGTCTACTCAGAGCAATCCACGAACGCTCAGCTTGAATTTGCCCACTCCACTGCTCGCGCAAACATCCCATCCTCCCGCCCGCAACTTGGTTTGCAAACCCCATGCGGCGGCGACTGCGATGAGTGCTTGGCGCCGGCTGGCGCATCTCTGCGGCCGCGACAGCCCGCGGCGGCCAGCTAGTTTGGCGCGAACGACGCAGCCGCGGCGGCGCTGACCGCTGGGCACATCTTTGCGGGCACTTCAGTGCGAGTCGGCGAGTGGGGCGGGCGCGGCATCATGGCAACGGCGACAACGGTAGACGCGGTGATGATAGTGGCGATGCTTGTGACGATGCTGACAGCGACGACGGCGCGGCCAGTGACGGCGCGGATGCTGATCTCGCCGGCGACGATGACGGCGCACTCGCGTCGGCGATGAAGGCTGAGTTCGACACGCGCGCGCGGCCGACGCCCGAAAGTGGCCTGCATGGTATTATTTGACACAGACCGTGCCCCCAGCACGCGCGCAAGGGTGCGCGAATGATTTTCGGCATGCGACGCGAGAGGCCCAGTTGGCGGAATTCCATGAACATGTGGAAAATCAGGGTTTTTTTCAAGAATTCGCAGGAGTACGCGCGCACGTTTTTTGTTGAAAATCTGCTTTGCGAAACCATGTGCTTCTTGGTCAAAACACCAAAACATAAAACTTGTTTTGGGCGTTCGGTTTTGAACTCCTTACGGGGCCGAAGGCTTTCGCAGGATTCCGGCATGCGCGCGCGACGACGCGCGCGTTCGTTCTTATTCTCACGTCTTGAGAAAAAAAAAAGGCTCTCGCGACGGCACGCGCGCAAGGGCGTTCGAAAGATTTGGACATGCGCGCGCGAAACCAATTTGGCTGCATTTTCTCAAAATAATGAAAAACCAATACCCCTGTTAAGGATTCGCAAAAGCCCGCGCGAGTTTTTATACATACATCTATATATATATATACACACACATGCATACATTGGAACCGTGTTGCGAAACCATTTTTCAGATGTGTTTTGGCACTCGATTTTGAAACCCGTACGAAACCGACGGTTGTGGAATGATTTCAGCATGCGTGCGCGACGACGCGCGCGTGTGCACTTGGTTTCATTTTTTGGAGGGGATTCCTGGACATTGCCGATGTTTGATAAACGAGTGCGCGCGCATAGTATTCTCTGCAGAGGATGACGAGGGGGGTCGATACCGGCCTGCCTGTTGGGGATGGTACAAATTCATATTTTGAATGGACGATGGGGCAGAACCGTATGTAAATTGCAATACAAAAGGGGGAGCGATAATCCCGGGGGGGGGGGGGGCGAATTTCTTTCTGTTACAAGCGAAAATCAAAGTTGTACAATTTACGCGGTGACGGGGCGTCGACGGCGACAAAATAGCCGCCAGACCGGCTGTCAGGCCCAGACGACGGGTGACGAAAAGGCGGCGACGGGGCGGCAACGGCGACAACATAGCCGCTTGACGGCGGGCGGCGATGAGGCGGCGACGAGGCGGCGATGGCGACAACATAGCCGCCCGATTGGCAATCAGGCCCAGTTCTTTCGAACAGAAGTGGAAACCCCGAAGTGCAAGCATCGTTTGAGGAATTTGCGACCATATATCTATATATATACACACGACAGTATGTGTGCACCCTCATATTTACACGTATGTGCACGCATGTGCACGAAGTTTACGTACACAAGCTCGGTGTCCAGAGTTCGGGGGGGGCTCTTTCTGTTCGGTTGCCCAATTGCGCGGGGTCGCGTATCCATTGCCGCGCTCGTGGGAAGGGTGATGGGGGAAGGGGATGGAAACGTGCGAATCGCGGGGCTCGGGGCAAAACCAATTCGCATGTTGGACTCGATGCGCCGGGGGCCGTAACCATAGTTTCGTAAGAGGTGAGGCGAACGAATCCTGACCCCGTCGCGACCCGCATCAGGGCAATTCCCTGCATTTGCAAACGCAAAGAAGTCGGATCATCATATGTTTCATGACATGCGGAATTGGCGACAAGGTGGCGTTTCCACGACATGTTCAGTTAATCCGTGAAACACGCTGTCACTGGTTACGAGTGAGATGTGCTGCTGTGAATTGTTGTGCCGTGTGTTGCTCTGCTGAACCACGCACTGCAAAGCAGCCGAGTGATTATCGTGGCCCTGCGCCGCACCGCGTCGCGCCGATCCCTTCTGCCCCGCCTCGCCCCGCCGTGTTCCCCGCCTCAGGGGCCCCAGGCAGCCGCTCGGCCCAAGCCCAGCCGCCCCGTGGCCTTCCTCCGAAGCTGCCGCCCCGCTCGGCCGCGGAGCCGCGCCTGCCTCCTCGTGGGGGGGGGAGGGGCGACCTCGCGCCGCACATGCCGTGCCTGCTCGGCGCCTTCGCCGGGTGGCCCCCGCCCCCGAGGCCGAGAGGCGCGCGGCCGAGGGCGGCGGCGGCGGCGGCGGCCCGCGGCCGCCCCCCGTGCGGCCGGGCGCCGCCCGGCGCGGCCGGCGGCGCGGCGGGCTCGCCGAGGAATCTTCGGTTCCCCAGAAAATGTGGGAAAATATGGGAATTGGGGGGGAAGACAGAAACCCAGAAAATCTAGGAAAATATGGGGAATATTTTTATTTCTGTGTATTTATTTGTGTGTCCTGGGGCCCCTTCAAGGAAGCCCGACGGGCCGGGCGCGGACTCCGACGACGGCTGCTCCCAGGCGAGCACGACGCAGGACGGCGCCTCGACGCCCAGCCGGGGGTGGCACAGCCGGTGCTCCGCGGGCTGGGACGCCGCGCCCGCCGCGCGGGGTGCGCGCGCGGCCGGCGAGGCCGAGGCGCAGGGCTGGTCCCTCGGCGATCTCAGCGTCGGCAGGACTGAGGGGCCAACGTCCACCGCCACGGCCACAGGCAGGACGGAGGAGAAGTTGAGGATGGGGGGTCCTCCGCCTCCTCCTCCTCCTCCTCGTCCTCGTCCTCCTCCTCCTCCTCCTCCTCCTCCTCCTCCTCCCTCTCCTGCCGTGGGTGGTCTCGGGACCCGTTAGTGCTGGTCACTTCGGATGTTCTCCGTACGTTCTGCCAAGTCTTGTAGCATCAGCGCCTCACCCCTGCAGTCCTCGAGAGGCTCTGTGGGCGAGGCAAGGGCCTCCTTCAATGCTGCCTGGGCAAGTTCAAGGATCCTGTGGCGGCCCTTGTCCTCACTTGCGCCCGCATAGGCTTCTTTTTGACGACCCGTGGGCCCTCCGTGACGCCACTCTGCAGCAATGGGACCTGCGCGGGATCTCGCCAGCGTTCGTGGCACGCAGGCCACAGCTCGCGGCTCGCAGGTCTTCGGATCCCGAAGGCCTGGGCCAAGGCAGGTCGAGGCAAGAGATGGCGAGGCCCGGTTTTCTGGCGGCCGTTGAAATGGATTGCTGCATGCCCGCCATGACCTCGGGCGAAGGGAACTATGCACATGCACCGATCCTGGCAAGGCCCATCCTTGACCCAGGATCGGTGCATATACCTTCCTAGCCAAGGTAGGAGGGCGTATGCACCGATCCTGGGCTCAGGATGGGCCTGGCCAGAATCGGTGTATGTGCATAGTTATCTTTCCTCTATGACCAAGAGGACGAGGGGGTGTCGGACGGGACGCGGGGTGCGAGGGAGCAGCGCGTGTTGCGGGGACTGGTCACAGGCTCGCACCGGTCTCGATGCCGTCTGCGCGAGCATGGTCCGCTGCCGCCCAGCAACTGCCTCCTCGGTGGGGAGGACAAGGGCACGCTGCTCCACTGCCACTTCGACTGCCCAGCGCTTCTCGGGGGCGGAGGCGAGACTTCCTGCCGAGCGAACTGGAGCGACCCGTGGCCAGGCCTCCCCCTCCCCCTCCCCCTCCCCCTCCCACTCCCCCCCTCCTCCTCCTCCTCCTCCTCCTCCTCCTCCTCCTCCTCCTCCTCCTCCTCCTCCTCCTCCTCCTCCTGCTCCTCCTCCTCCTCCTCCTCCTCCTCCTCCTCCTCCTCCTCCTCCTCCTCATGTAGGCGAAAAGAGACCCACAGGAGACGTCTGCTCGAGGCATCCTCCCCGACCCCCTGCCAGGCCTCTGCCGGACCAGCCCGGGGCCCCGGCGTGGGAGCGCAGGGCGGAAGGGCCGGGGGCGCCGCGGGCCCTGGTGTGAAGTCGGGCCTGCCCCCCTACCGGGGGACCTTCGACGAACAATTATTTTTAAAAAAACCCAACATGGTCAACAAGTACTCCAAAACAAGTCAGGGGACTATTGTTTTTGTTGGTATGTTTGTTTACCCTCTTGGAGTAGTCGTGGGGTATTTTTTTATTCGTCGTCGAAGATCCCCCTGTAGGGGGACAGGCCCGACTTAACCCTGGTGGAGGGCCATGCTTTTCTGCGACGCGACGGGTCGGGTATGTGTGGCATGGTTCCGTCTCTTCGTGCTGCTGGTGGGGGGCTGTCGACGAATGTCAGAGAGCTTCGCTACCTTGGAGGGTGGTTTGGAGCGATTCCCCCGACCGGAGGACCCGACCAGGTGGCCCGAGATGGCGAGGGTTTCGCTGCTCAGATGGCGCTGCGACGCATAGTTGGCACGTTCACGGTGCAGTCTGAGTGTAAAGGCGCGCTCCACTCCTGTGGGCCCCCCTCTCTCGCCACTCGCTCGTCCAGCATTCGGGCTCCCGTGTGGCGACGTGCCTTCGAGGAGGGACGACAACCTGGAGTCGGTTTCACAGAAAGGTTGCGGCCCACACAGGACGTGTCTGATGTCCGTGACGGGCGCGTCACGCTCTTGGAGCACCAGGGCGCTGCACGGGCATGCCGCCCAGCCAAGCAGGGTGCGAGATTGGCTGGACGAGACCCTGCAGGGGGCTCCACGGCTCGAGGGGATGCTGGCCCTGGCGCGGTCCGTGTGGAGGTCATCGCCAAGAGCGGAGGCCCACTGGTGCAGACCTCGGCAGATGCGGCACGATCGGGGCTCGGGGGCTCCCCAAGAGGTCGCTGGAAGGCGACGCGGAGCCCGAGGAGGCCATCGAGGAGTGGAGGCGGAGGGAGGGCGAGGGAGGGGGTGCTGCTGCTGCCCCTGCTCCCCCTCCAGGGGGGCCCCATCCTCCTCCTCGGGCCCAGGGCTCGAGCCTCTGAGTCCAGATTGGCCTCGATGGTCAGAGATCTTGAACAGTCTCCAGGGGCGGCCTGCGGTTATGTCGGGCGTGGTCCCCCTACAGGGGGATTTTCGACGAAAAATAGAACATACCCCCAAAATGATAAAAGAACAGTCCAAAAATAGTCTGGGGACTATTGTTGAGTATTTTTGGCCGTTTTGGGGTCTGTTTGGGGTATTTTCATTTTTCGTCTACAATCCCTCTGTAGGGAGACATGCCCGACATAGCCTACGGCCACATGTTGCTCGAGCTTGGAGTGGCGGCAGGAGGCCAGCCGCCGGTCCTTGTTTTCTCGACCTGCGGAGCCTGCGCTACTGTCTCGCCATGCCCCAGAGGGCTCCGCGAGCCCTGTCCGGGCTCCCGGCGTGCCCCAGCGGACCCCGGCAGAAGGAGCTCGAGCGCTGCTGCGGAGGGGAAGCGCCCCAGCAGGCCTCTGAAGCTGGGCCCGCGGAGGACTCCCGGGGGCGAGGCTCTCGGGAGCTGGCCGGGGGGGCTCGAGAGGGCCCCTTTTGGCCCAGCAGAGAGGACGTGTTCCAGGGCCCGCCGAGGGCCGAGTGCCGTCCGTCGGGTTGGCCGACTGTCTCCAGGCCTTTGGGCGCAATGAAGCAGGAGGGGAGAAAAAACACACAGACACAATTGAGCCTCGATTCCCCAGAAAATATGGGAAAATATGGGAAGCGGGGGGGAAGACAGACACCCAGAAAAGATGGGGCCAATAGGGGGAATCTTTTTACTTGTCTATATTTGTCTGTGTGTCCCAGGACCCCTTCAATGAAGCCAAAGCCACGGCCGGCTGTGGAGTAGGGGGGGAGCGGTGTGTATTAGTTTAGTGCATTCGTTGAGTGTATTAGTTAAGGGTACGCGTGGGGGAGGAGGGAAGGACAGGACAGGAGAGGACATGAGAGGACATGAGAGGACAGGGGAGCAGCGGCGTGTAATAGTTAAGTGTATTAGTTAAGTGTATTAGTTAAGTGCACGTGTGGGGGAGGATGGGAGAGCGCGTGGGCCGCGGCCGTGCCGAGGCGCGCGCGGTGCCGAGGCCGATGGCTTACTCGCCCACTGCAGGGTGGGGGGGGGGGCTCCCCGTCGCTGGCCCCCTGGCGGGCGCGGCGGCCTGCCAGGGAGACGAGACGGTCTCCTTGGGCGCTGTTCGGGCTGAATCCCTCTCTCTTTCCCCTCAGAGGCGTGCAACACTCAGGAGGAACAAAAAAAAACAGACACAATTAATCGTCGGTCCCCAAGAAAATATAGGAAAATATGGGAATTGGGGGGGGGGGACAAAAACCCAGAATAGATTGGGAAAATATGGTGAATAGTTTTATTTGTGTGTATTTATTTGTGTGTCCTGGGGCCCCATCAATTTTTCCTTCGGCGACGACCATCGAGGAGCATCCTTGATCATCTGGCAACAAAAAACCACGCACGAAACCGAAAAAAGCACAGGGAATGGACGTCCGAGCGATGGGCAGTGGGCGCTTGTCGGGCTGAATCCCTTTCTCTCTTTTTCCGCTCAGAGGCGTGCGGCCCTCCCTCTCCTACCTATGATAGTATACAGTCGGGGCGCTGAAGAAGGAGCCCTTTTCGTTTGGGAGGGGCTCCGTGTTCCTTAGTTGTGTTACAGTGCTCCTTGGGTTGTACTGAGGTTTTCCATGGAAAATCTGGGTTTATTAACTTATGGGAAAAAGGGGCCTCGTTCCTGATTTACGGTTCCTTGGGTCAACGCCCCAGCTGTAATCGTGGTGGTGGAAAGTGGAAAATCGGCCCATCAAGGACCGTGGGCACCGGCCGGCTTCATGGGGTCGGTTCGCCTCGTCAGGCGTGCCGGCGGCGGCGACCCCGCGCCCCTCGCGCTGAAGGTGATGAAGAAGAGCGTGGTCCTGAGGAAGAGGCAGGTGGTGCACACGAGGCAGGAGAAGGAGCTGCACGGCCAGCTCGACCACCCGTTGATCGTCAAGCTGCTCGGCACGTTTCAGGACGAGGCGAACTTGTTCATGCTCATGGAGTTTGTCGACGGCGGCGAGTTGTTTGCGGTATTGCGGTCAGTCAAGATGTTTCAGAATGCCGCTGCCAAGTTCTACGCGACTGAGATTATCCTGGCACTCGGCCACATCCACAGCAAGTCCATCGCCCACCGAGACTTGAAGCTGGAGAACGTCCTTCTCGACTCCTGCGGCCACGTGAAGCTGGTGGACCTCGGCTTCGCCAAGGTCATCCGCACGCGCACGTACACTATGTGCGGAACCCTGGATTACCAGGCACCAGAGATCATCAACAGGAAGGGCCACGACCAGTGCGTAGACTGGTGGGCCTTGGGGGTGCTCATCTACGAGATGCTGTCGGGCCGCCCGCCGTTCCGAGGAGGCAACGCCCTCGCGGTCTACAAGAAGGCGCTCTCGACCGAGCCCGAGTTCCCCCCCTGCTTCACAAGTTCAGGAGGGGGAAAACACACAGACACAATTAGTCGTCGACTCCCCAGGAAAAGATGGGAAAATATGGGAAGCGGGGGGAAGACAAAAGCCCAGAAAACATAGGAAATATGGGGAATCTTCGGATTTGTGTGCGTTTATTTGTGTGTTCCTGGGCCCCCGTTCGACAGGTAACGCCCGGAGCGTGATTGGCGGGCTGCTGACAAAGGCGAAGAGCCGCCGCCTAGGCGCCGGCGTGGGCGGAGTGGAAGACGTCAAGGACCACCCGTGGTTCGCCCCGGTGCATTGGGACAGGGTCTTGCAGAAGCAGTACATTCGGAGGCGACGATGTGGGCGAGTGGCCTCGCACTCGGGGGGGGCAGAACGCCACACTGGCACGTCGATTCGTGAATTGTCCGTTTTCGGTTCTCGAGAGGGCGCCGCGGCCGTCATTTTCCAGGCCTGCGCCCGCCAGGTTTGGGCCCGATGTCGTTTTCACTAAACCATGTTTTACCAAAGAGGGTCTTGTCCATCCCCGACCCATGGGGGACCAATCATCGAAGAAGAGACAACGCCACAAACATAAACCTTTGGCGCGGCGTGCGGATTTCTTGGATCCGCGCTGGGCCCCCCCTGGCGGCGCCTCCAGCGCCGCCCCTGGCGCGCTCCGCGCGCCAGGGAGGGGGTCCAGCGCAGATCTAAGGAACCCGCGCGGAGCGCCAAAAGTTTGTGTTCACGCCGTTTTATTCTTTTTTCTAGTTCTCAATAATGCATCCAGGGGCGTCGGTGGTCCATGCCTTCGGCCAGGCTCCCTGGCGAACATATTTCGCGCCCGCCCCTGGGCTATTCGCCCCCATCGTCGCCGCCGGCACATGCCACCCTTCCTGCCGACCTCGACGAGCAGCAGCGACGCTTCCGTGTTCCAGGACTGTCCCGAGGATGCCATCGACAGCAGCCCGGTCGGCTTGTCCAAGGCGGAGCAGCGGCAGTTCGAGGGCTTCTGAGGAGCGCCCTGCACGCCCCGAGCTGGCGGTTGGCCGGACCCGGAGGCCTCAACGATTGGTGGCTTGGAGCCCCGCCCGCATGGGCTCGCCCTGTTCAGCATCCGAACTGGGGTCGGAGTAGACGGGGGTCGGAGGATCGCGCCGCATCCTCGGTGTGGGGCCCAGTTTTCTCCACGCCGACGTCGCGGATGTGCCGCCGACGTCGCCAGTGCGCGGCCGATGCACCGCCGATGCACCGCCGATGTATCGGCGATGCGGCGAGATCCTCCGACCCCATCTGCTCGGACCCCATCTAGGAGGCCTCTGAATTCAAGTCGGACCTGTCCCTCTACAGGAGGAATGCCCAAAAATAGTCAAAACACAAATAGTAGGGGGACGATGCTTTGACTATTTGTGCGCATTTTTTGGGGCATGTTTGGGTTTTTGTTCCGGTTCTTTTCAAAATGCGGTTCTCGCCTTTGTGCCGCGCGCACTCGCCTTAAATAGATGCAATAGCTTCACGGATTGAGGACGGGTCGTTTTCAAAATGAGGCTCTCGCGCCCAAAATCCGCCTGTAGGGGGACATGCCCGACCCAACTCTAGATTTGAGGTTGCGAGGACCTGCCGGGGTCGACGCGCATGCCGGGGTCGCGACGCCCCCGCGCTCGCAGCGGAGGAGGAGGAGGAGAAGGTGGAGGAGGAGGAGGAGGAGGAGGAGGAGGAGGAGGAGGAGGAGGAGGAGGAGGAGGGGGAGGAGGAGGAGGGGGAGGAGGAGGAGGAGGAGGAGGAGGAGGAGGAGGAGGAGGAGGAGGAGGAGGAGAAGGAGGACCCTCTCTCAGCTCCGTGCGCGCCCCTCCGCCGCCTCGGCTGGGTACGCGCCTCGCCGGCCGCCGCTCCCCTCGGGCTCCTGCTTCTCAAGCAGTGGCGACGCGTCCTGGTTCGGGGGTGGACAGAACCCCCAACAGTGACACGTCGATTCGTGAATTGTCCGTTTTCGGTTCTCGAGAGGGCGCCGTGGCCGTTATTTTCCAGGCTTGCGCCCGCCAGGTTTGAGCCTCAGGCCGTTTTCACGAAACCGCGTTTTACTAAAGGGGGGTCTGTCCATCCCCGACTGGTGTGCCTACAGGCCTACCGAACAATGTGCTACGGACCTGTTGTGGTTTCCACGAAATGTTCTCAGAACGCTTCTGGCTGGGACTGTGCTGTTTTTCACGCATCGGCTTTGAACAGTGTTTTGGTTCTGAGAACACTTTCGGGTTCTAAGATACTTTCGCTGTAGGCCTATAGGGATGCCGGGACGGTCGGCCCTGCTCAATGTCTCCTCCCTGCCCTCCTCCCCTCTCCCGCTGGTCAGGTAGAGATCTCCCTCCGCAAGGGGCCCAGGGCTCCCAGCCCATGAGTGCCCCATTCGCGCTGCGCGTGGTTTCGACCGCGTCTTCTGGCGGTATCTGCCCGGACGCTCGAAGGCAAGAAAGGTCGCCTTTTTTCCCAGCAAGTGTATGGGCGATGCGCTGCCGCGGGTCGGAGTGCGGAGTGATCCAGCTGCCTGCGGCAGGCCCGCCCCGCCACTGTGCGAGCCCTCCATTCTCGGAGGCGACTGTTCGAGGGGGCGCGGGAGGCAGTGACGTGTGATGCACTCTTCTGCGTCGTGCTGGTGATGATGCTGGTGACGACGATGATAACTACGATGCCGATAGCGAGGACGATGACGCTGCTGACGCTGATGCTGTGGTTGGCCATGGCGATGCTGACGGTGACGAGAGGCTGCTGCTGGTGATGATGTTGATGATGCTGGTGATGACACGTGTGATGGCGAGAGTGGTGATGGTGATGGTGGTGGTGATGGTCATGGTCATGGTCATGGTGATGATGTTGATGCTAATAGCGGCAATAATAATATTGATACGATGCTGATGTTGCTGATGATGATGACGATAACGATGACGATGCTGATGCTGATGATGCTGATGATGATGATGGTGATGCTGATGACTCTGATGCTGCTGGTGATCATGAAGATACGCGGAGAGAAAGTAAGAGGAGGAGGAGGAGGATAATAATTTCGACGGACAGGGGATGAGGGATATGAGGAAAATGGTGGTACGGAGGATGAGGAGGATCAAGAGGAAGAGGAAGGCTGTCACGTGTGACACTTGGCATGGTGGGCGCCTCCTGTGGCGCATCGGTGGCGCATTGGAGGCTCTCGGGGGCTTCTTGGGCCGTCTGAGGGCGTCTTGGGCCATCTGGCGCTTTCGGAGTATGTTTTGGGGGACTCGCTGTCGTCGTGGGTATGTCTTGGGTTGCACGGGGGTTGTCCTGAGGCGCCTTGGGCAGTCTTGGGGCCGTCGTGGAGCCCTCTTGGGAATGGTTGAGGTTGTCTTGGTGGCTTCATGGGCTGTCTTTAGGCTCTCTTGGGCCGTCTTGGAGCCATCCAGCGTTTCTTGGGCCGTTTTGGAGCTGACGGAAGCCCGAAGAGGTGAGAAAGCGGAAATCCATGAAGAGCCGTTGGGAGTCAACGAGTGTGATTTCTTGGTGATTGTCCTGGAGCCTTCTTGGGCGGTCTCGAGAGCGTCTGTGGCAGTCTTGAGGCCACCTTGGGCCGTCTTGGGGCCATCGCGGGCTGTCATGGAAGCATCTTGGACCATCGGGACGGCCTGGGTAGCTTGCCTGGGGCGTCTTGGAAGTCAACTTGGGCATGTCCGACGCCGTGGAAGGCGCCAGGGAGGCGTCTGGCAGCCCAGAGGGCCTCGGGGGGGAGGGGCGTGAACGCAAATGGATGCGTGGAGGAGGGTGGAGTGCAGAGCCCATGCGAGAGAGCACTTCTCATTCTACTACGCCTCAGCGGGCCAGGGGGCACGGTGGCGGATGACGGCAATCGCATCCAGCGTGGACCGCTGAATCATATATATATATATATACGTACATATGTATACATCTAGATGTGTATGCATAGCAGTTTGACGGGGAGCGCGCTTAGTCTCGAAGAGTCGTGCGTTTGACGTTGGTCGTTTGCCCAGATAAATGATGTATCAAGTGGGGGAATCTAGAGGGATTGTCCTCTGGACTCTCGTGCAAATGACGGGAAGTGCGCTTAGACTCGAAAAGTCGCGCGATGGACATTGTTGATGATGACACTGATCATGATGGTGATTCGGATCGTGATGGTGATGATGGTGATGAGTTTGCTTGTGATGCTGTTGCTGGTCATGATGGTAACGATGGTGTATGATGGTGTTGATGCTGGTGACGACGATGGAGAGCCCACCTACATTACGTTTGATCGTGATGATGGTTGTACAGTCTTGCGCAATTCATCGCGTGTACGCTATTCCCGCTTCATGTCAGGGCAGGCAGGGTGTTGGCGATGGTGACGATGATGGTTGTAAAAGATGATGGTGAGAGTGAGGGGGAGACGGAGGAAATTGGAGGTTCACAGGGTAGTGGGAGGGTATTCGGAAGCATACTTGTGACCGTTCGGGCAGCGCATGTTCATAAGTATCACTTGTGGGCGCTCGGCGAGCTCGCCCACATTACAGTTGATCGTGATGGTGTTGCATGTTCTAGCGCATCTCATCGCGTGTACGCCCTTCCTGTTCAGGTCAAGCAATGTTCCTAGAACGAGCGTTTCGCGGCATACATCCTCGCCAAGTCGTGATATTGGAGGTGGTATGTTAAGGCATCGTATGCCAAACATGAGCGTGTCGCTTGAGACATCCTCGAAACATGAGGATACTAAGATCGTTGGCCTAATTCTCGGACCTTCCAAACTGGGGCTTTCGCCTGGGACATCCTCGAACACAAATGGATGAGCGACGGGCTGGTTTGCGACATCTGTTCAGAGTGCCCTTGCATGACCTCGAAAAGACCAAGAAACGAAATGGATGAAACATACAGATTCTCTCATGTGTCGTTTTAAAACCAGCGTCTCGCTCGATGCATTCCCATCAACATGCCTTTGAATAGCTGTTCGAAACCAGGAGATCATGATGGGGATGCGGGTGATGACGGTGATCACGACAATGTTGACGATGAAGATGTTGCTGATGATGATGGTGAAGGTGATGATGTTGATGATGATGATGAAATCATGATGCAGGTGATGTAGATGATGATGCTCAGGATCATGCTGATGATGCGTATGATGGTGCTTATGATGATGACATTGATGATGGTGATTGTGTTGATGCCGCTGATGATGCGACGCCGATATGTATTAGTAGGTTGATGCTGGTGATGGCGTTGACGATGCTGGTGATTGGTGATGATGGCGATCATGAGCGTGATGGTGATAGTGATGGTCTTGCTTGTGATGCGGCTGAGGGTGATCATGGTGGCGATGATGCGATGGTGTTGATGATGGCGACGATGCTGATAGGAAATATGATAATGAGAGTGATGGGTGGTGGAGGACACTGGCGGTGTACACAGGCGACAGCGGGTACTCGTGGGCATACTTGGGAACGTTCGCGTTCGGAGAGCTCGCCTACACTACACGTGATCGTGATGATGCGGGACGTTCTTGCGCAACTCATCGCGTGTACGCCCTTCCCGTTCATGTCAGGGAAGGCGGGGTGTTGGCGATGGTGACGGTGGTGATGGTAACGATAATGTTAAACGTGCGGGGGGACGGAGGAATTTAGAGGTGTACAGGGAAGTGAGTGGATATTCAGAAACATGTTTGTGAACCTTCGGGGAGCGCGGGTCCATTGGTATCCGTTGTGAACTTTCGGAGGGCCCGCCTACACTACATGCGATCCCGATCATGCCGTGCGTTCGCGCGCAGCGTATTGGTTGTTACGCGGTTCCCGCTGACGTCAGGAAGCATTCCCACATTGTGCATTTTGTTTGGGTAATCCTCGTTGCACCGCGAGGTTGGAGGCTCTATCTGAAGACGTCCCATGCGAAACATGAGCGCTATGTCCGATACACCCTCAGAACTTGGGAATGTTGAAATCGCTGGCCAACTTTTCGGATTTCCCCAATGGGGCCTTCGCCTGAGACGTCCTCGAACAAACGCGATGCTGGGAAGGCTAGTTGCAGACCCCTTGTGTTAAGCACCAAGTTCTCGTTCGAGACACCCTCATAAACTGCAGGGGCTGAATTCGCTGGCTGAAGCTGCGGATCTTCGAAGATGTTGCTTTCGCTTGAAACATCCACGGAACAGTGAGATGTTCCAGCAGCTG